AGAAAACAGGAAAGGTGATAATAACAAAATCTCGAAAACTTTACATATTGGCATTAGATTTTTGAGGGAGTTGTAGGGATTTGGAAATATTTCAAGTTGTTATTCATCGTAGACTGACATCAGTTGGAAGAACAAAGGGAACCTGGGACCACTGGACAGCTGTTTCGTCTCGCATGGGACTCCTCAGCAGTGAGCACACACCACCCCACTGCACCACGGATCGAAATCGCGAACTTCAGGTTCTGTAGACAGCACATTACCGTTGAGCCACTGGGTCAGAATTCAATCGTCCACATTTCCAACCTCTGTTAGTTCACGATGTAGTGCAACCGACACCCAATTTCATCGTTGAGTGACTGTCCTCACGATCATCAGGCTTTGACTCCGCCGGTCATGACTTCTTTTTGTAACTTCGAGAATACTTCTCGAAGCTAGTCACCTATGAGCTGAGGAGTCCCATACGAGGACGAAACAGCTGTCCAGTGGTCCCAGGTTTCCTTTGTTCTTCCAACTAATGTCAGTCTACGACGAATAACAACTTGAAATATTCTCATTAGTCAATCCTTGTGGTTGTATGTTTGTGTGGGGATAGATGGAAATAAAATTATTGTCGCATAGAGATTAGATAAAAGAACGTTAAAATTCTTAATCAATCATGAAACTGATGGCGAAAAATAAAATGATGATAATCAGAGTACAAACAGAGATAATATTTACATCTGCATTTACCCGGTTGACCGAGAAGGAATTTATCGTAATTGTGTCTGGGTTGAAGTTGAAGGCCATGGGAGAGAAAGAGAACGAACAAACATCTTCTGAATACATAAATCATGTTTGGAAAATTTAATTGCCATGCCTTCTGCTATGCCTAGAAATCAAAGGGACCCAAACTTAGAGAATTGTGATGGAACTGTGTAAATATATTCAATACTGAGGTTTTGTCAATCTATGCTCAGTATCTACTAGATGGGTAAGTGTTGAGCTTTGGATGGATTTTTACTGTTCCTCTGCCTAATCACACTGGACAGTGTTCAATGAAGATATGGTGGGCTTATGGAATCGTCTGCCTATGTACTATCTCTACAGGAGTATTTAGATTTATAAATGCGCATTGATGTGGCCAGATTAAGAAGCCTATTCTTCAACTGCATTGGCATCTTACAGCGAGTAGTAAATTTCAAACATAGTGTGGCGGTGCAGAAGGTTTTCTGTATCACATTTCTAAGTTTCAGTGTGTCAGTGTTTATGCAACTGCATCTCCTTTGAACTCTAAGGTTAGATACAATAGTTTCTGCAACATCATTTGAGGGCGGTTTTCTCTAGCTGTTTTTATCGTTACAGTCTTTATGAACTTTAAAGAATAGCCGTTCTCATATAGGGAATTCTTTATCATTCTTAGTTCACTGTTCAAAGTATAAGGCATGAAAACCTTACTGACTCGAAATCTCGGTGTATGGATTAAATTCCTTTTGTATGTGGAAGGGATAAGTGATCGGGAATGTGTATACTAACCAACCCATGATTTCTTATGATAAATACTGCGTCTAACACTTACATCCGTTCGTCCTGATAGCAAAACATCTAGAAATGGCAGACATCCGTCTTTCTCTGTTTCCCATGTGAAACCGATTTCTGGATGAGTACCAATGAATGTACCGAGAAGAATGTCAAGATTAGCATCATTTTCGTGCAGAATGAAATTGTCATCCATGTATCTACAATAGAAGGACAGTCTATCACAAGATGGATAGATACTCACAGAATTAAAAGCAAACAGTGTTAATCACTTGACCATACTTGGTCAATACGAAATTTCTCCATTTTTACTGTCCATTTAATTGGTATTCCTCTCTTATCCATGTTACATGGAAGATAAATAAACTAAAATCAAATTATTATTCATTTGACCGTATATCAATAATTCTGGCGCTATATGACTAACTGTACGTACAAATTTTTCGGGCAGTGATTGAAGGGATGCTATTGGTGTGTTATTTTTATGCCACACATAACCTACTACACATGAATATTATTTCATCCTTTTGTTTGAATTCCAGATACTCAGTTATTTATTATTCTGTTCATACTCTTTTTTTTAATCTGTTCCTGCTTTCTTTCATACTTCATTAATGACATATAAAATGCATGTTAATGCATATTCATACATTAAATATTCTTGTAGTTAGAATGATTTATTTCTATCAGTTAATTATACTATATAATTATTGCTCACTTTTTACATTGAATTTAGTATTCAAACGCTATTATTACTTTCTTTATGTAAGCACAGATACATTTGCGCCTGTTTATAATTGCTTCTTCCATTAACTGTATCGCAAAAATTTTGCTCTATGTAGGTGATATTGTGAGACAGGTAGACAAGGTTGGGAAGTCATTAGCATCCTCGTATGTAAAGGTAGTTTTGAACATAGGCTCACATGATTTTCGGAATTATTGATAAATAGGGAGTATGGCAAGTTGCTTTATACATATATGCACTTGAAGATGTCTCCAGTCTCCTTTCAACCACATTTTCGTTAGACTTTCATGCTTGAATCGAGTAGTTTTAGTTTCTAAACCTAGGGCATTCTTGTCATAGTGTGATGGCCATCCTATATTGTCAGGTAATTGTGTTCAGGCAAAACTAAGCTTATCCCGCAGATGGTGATGTCGCTTTGAAGTATTACCTACTGCTTATCTGAATAATTTATAAAAATTAGTTGATATAATGATATTTTCAATTTATAGCCGAAATCTGCATTACCTAATCAACTGAAATTTCAACAACACAGATGCTAGTGTTATTGATTTGACCAAATTGATCAGTCTCTGTTGGTAGATGGGCTCCTGTGCGGATGCCTCGATATTGTCTGTGTTCTTAACTGTATAGTATTGGTGGATAGTGGCTAGCACTGGAATCCAGGATGCTCATTTCTTCCTATTTGGGACTCGTCAGCTGGATGTACCTGCCTCCCAGTGAGTGATGTTGTTCCTGCCGGGATTCGGACTCGGGAGTGATCGCTTCAAACGCCAGCGCGTTATCCACTACCCCACCGAGCCACGATATTGACTGCTTCTCAAATTTTACTTGTGCATTAGTTACTGCTATTTTATGACTGAAACTATTTTCCTTCAGTCGGACCACGAAAAGTGACTGACCGGAATAATATTGAGGCATTCGAAGAAAAATATAGCTGTGTGAAGTGTGTAAATGAAGTTAGGTAGGTAGATTTTGATCAGTGTTGAACACTGAGAATACGATATGTAGTTCAGGGGTAGAGTTCCTGACCTCAAGAGTGACTGATGTGAGTTTAATCACACGGCAGACAGTGGTTTCTTCATAGTAGCAGATACCCCGGTTGATGTGTATCTAGAAGTGTCAAACATGTGTAAGAAGCTTTTAGCTGAGTAATTGTCAACACATAATACCACCAGAAAGTCAGGAATCCGTATTGAATTGTATATGGTTCTTTAAGGAAGTATACCAACTAGCTGATATTCAACTGACAGATACTTTTATGTGCACAATACGGAGAAACGACTACTTTTAAGCTATTCACCACCATGTGACTTTATTCATTGACTCACTATATACACGCACTGTATCAAAAATTGTAGGGTGAACTAACTTCTCAGCCTGGATAGACAGAGTCTTATGAAAGACAAGCTTACATTAAGATGATTTTGTATACACGTTTTGGATCCTGAATGCATTCAATGCTTAGATTTATTTAAAAGTATTTTTTAGATGTTTCATCCTACTAAAAATCGTGTCTATTGGGATATATATACAAACCAGTAATACTTTTCCGAGGTTTAAATATCTAAAATTTAACTGGCTTACATCTAGACATTTTGTTCATTTCTATTTGGTCATCTTTCTGTTTTTTCTTTATTTCTTAGCAACTGAAACCGATGCATTTTGCACTGGGATTTTTAACCATAACTTTCATTGAGTTAAAGTTGTATAGGTTATATAGTTGTATCTTACTTGACACTTGGACTGTCATAAATTTACATGTTTTTAGCATAGACTTCAGAGAATGCTATGATGTTAAGGCAAGTCTCAAGAATACTGACGGTGATAAAAGCGATTTTGACCATTATACTTGGTGATATATTTATGCATCTGTTTTTAAACGAGTTTCTTCGTAGCTGACATTGTCTGCAATTCGATAGAACTTATGACATAAGTTATTCAATTTGGAGGTTGGTGGGTTTGTCGATTTCAAATTTTCATTTGCCATGAATGAAATCAGTCAAAGAACCACCGAAAACCTGGGAGCACTGAGGAGCTGTTTCGTTCTAGCATGGTACTGGACAAGGTGTACCCATGAAACCTTTGGAAATCGAACCAGAGACCTGAAGAGTCCCATGGCCAGCACGTTAACACTGACCCATTGGGTCAGAATCCAGTGGTCTATACTTTACTAGTTTTCCTTAATGTTCATTAGTAACTGGCTTCGAAATGAGATTCCTGGCAAACCAGGTAGGAAGTAAGGACGGATACTCAACGACGGCGTCGGACAAACGTCATGCTATTTTGCAGACAGAGAGAAGCAGGATTCCGAGTTAATGACTAGATGGCAACGTATTCGCCATGGAACCTTAAGGACCTGGGTTTGATCTTTGTTGGGGTCATGGGTGTTTGCTACTAACAAGTCTCACTCTAAGACGAAGCAAATGATCAGTACGTCAAGATCTTCAGTGATTCTCCAGTCGATACGATGAATACAAGCTGGTGGCACAAGCGTTTGAAAATAATCAGACGATGGAGAACTCTGGCATTCTTTGTGAAACATTGCGTAACTCAAAACTATTTAGTGCATCCAGAAATCCTAACTGCTTTAACAAATTGATCCAAACTGATTACTTCCAAAACACAATATTTCTTAATTTTTGCGGTCTGTGCTCAATATGCTGTATATTTTTCTTCAGTGTTTATGTCATCGCGATTATTAATAATAGATAACCCATTATTCTGTTCAATCTTGTTTCAGCTTACAGTGTTAGCAACTGATGGGGGTTATGACAGTTCAGACACCAGTTCCAACAGACAACCAACTGGTAGTATGATGGTTCATCACACAACAACATCACAACTACTTATCCATATATTAGATGAAAATGACAATGCACCCGAATTTCGTGGTCCAAGACAGTTCGCTGTTGAAGAAAATCAACCACCAAATAAGTGGATTGGTGACCTACAAATAATGGACAGAGATGAAGGAATGAACAGTGAAGTAACATTCCGACTACTTTCCGGTAAACTAGTCAACAATAACAGTGGAAACATTGTTAAAGAAGTTGATAAAAATTCAATGTTGAAACAAAAACTGCCCATTAAACTGTTGAATAACGGAAGTTTATTCACAACAAAATCATTAGATAGAGAGGATAAAGTAAGCAGCTCTATATTATTACTATTATTATTTCTCCCTTGGGTTCCTAATGGAGCGTAGGGCTTCAGTAGCACGTCTCTGCAAACTTTTGAACCTGCCTCCACGACAGCCCAGAACCTCTCATTTCTTCCCCACACGACCTCCTCCATGTCACCCTCGGCTCAGACGCCCAACTCGTCACTTCCCATCTGGTTCCCACTCGAAGGCCTAGCCTGGTACGTGATGTCCCCAGTCGGCCTCCTCAGTCCATACCCAATCCATCTCCACTTCCTTCCAGTACATATTTGTTCAGTGATAACTTCTTGGCTGTTTTGTTCCCAGAGTTCCTTGTTGCTTATCCTTATTATTCTGGCCATCTGAGCTTCAGTAACGAGCTAGCGTAGGAAGGTGTTGATGAATGTCTGTAGTTTGTTGGAAATCCCTTTCGTAACGCGTCAAGTCTCTGAACCATACAGAAGCACTGACTTGACGTTGGTGTTGAAAATCCGGATGTTGTTCCACATGCTGAGTTGAGTGCAGAAGATCTCCACACTGGTTTCAGGCTAATGAACGAAGGCCTGCCTTGCTTTTCCGATCCTGGCTGTTTTGACGTCCTCGTCTGTGACACCGCCTGTAGTTGAAACGATGCTGCTTTGCCTAGGTAGGCGAAAGAGACAACTTCCTTTACGTTTCTCTGGTTGACTGTGATTGGAACTTGTTGTTGTCTTTGTTGGTTTTGGTTGTGTATCATCATGACCTCTTTCTTCTTTACGTTCACTTGGAGTCCCGTCTACGCCACCGCTTCTGTCAACTTGTTAGTTCTTGCCTGTAGATCGAGTTTGTGCCACAAGACATTAGACACAAGTCATCGGCGAAATCCAAATCTCCCAGGTTCTTTTCCGCCGTCCAGCGTATCCCCCTCTTCTCGCTCCCCACTGTTTGTTGCATGATCCAGTCCACTACAATCAGGAAGATAAGCAGCTTTATATGCAGTTCTTTTTTCACCCAACAAACTACCATTTGCATTGCTTATTTTGTTTAAAAGTAAGGTAATATATATAATGTATATATATATATAATATATATATATATATAATGTATATATATAATGTAAGTATACCAGCTGTACTTACTCGCATGAAGAGTGGTGATGTCAACAACCGGGTTAAAGGAAGACGGTATCTTGCTCTATTTTTAAATCTTTGGCTTCATCTCCGTCACTTATTGATCGGCGCTATGAACTTTGAACCCACCGGTAAGAATTGAGTCTCGCAGAATCGTTGTTAAGCTAGACGTTTTCCTGCGCTCAGTGCTTTACGGTTTTATCCAGCATCTAATATAGAGTTATATCAACTCAAACTTGTCACGTTCTAATGATAAAACAGTTATTTCATTGTTTACAAATTTTACTGCTGAAATGGACATACTGCTGTGGATTTTATCTGTAGAAAGCTTCACAAGGAAAGCAGTGAGAAGTTTGTTGCTAATTTTAATCACTGGTGAAAACCATACAAGAAAAACTGGAAAATATACGATATTGTAAAGCCTTCAGTCCTAATAGTTGATTCTCGATCTATTTTTCAATAACAACTAGATATTTCATTTTGATATTCTTCATGGACTGATACCAGTCCGAGGAGGATTGGAAACCTGGGAACACTGAATAGCTGTTTCGTCCTAGTGTGGAACTTCTCAGCAGTGTGATTGTTCAATATGAATGGTGTTTTTATAACATTCTTATGCCTTCAGTCAGCTTAAAATAGTGTAACGTAACAAAAAATATGATCGAGAAATATTTATTATTTGGTATACTTGATCTAAGCTTTTTTCGGGGTGATAAACTTAGTTACCTCAAGCTTTGAAATAGAAAAAGCAACGAAAATTAAGAATTACAACGAAATATGAATGTTAATCGGAAAAAAAGATATTATAGAAGCACGAATAAATCTATTTTATTTTCTTAGTTGAATGGCTTCATAATAAATTTGGTGTAAAAATCAGTCGTAAAAATTTAAAAACATTGAGGCAACTCTTAAGGAGACTTTTATTTTTTCGTGACTAAGCAAACATTGACACTTGAAGAGATTGAATCTACAATATAGAAATTTTGTACTATTATACATTGAATATTAACAAGTATAGAATTTAAAGTATACTGAATTATGAAGGTTGCCTGGAAAGTGATAGGTTGCCGCCTTTTCTGAAAAATCAAAGATCCTTTTTAGGTGTCTAGATTTAAAATGAGATTTTTATGATGGCATAAATTTCTATCGATTCTTTTATTTTAAAGTCAGATATTGCCTAATGAAATAATTTGAGGTGTTCACTTTAATCATGTACAGAATATGGGAAATCTTTTTGAAATTAAGTCTGAACTGGTGTGGCACTTAAACCCAAAAACCTATTTCAAAACAAACTTTGTAGATAAAGATACCATATTGACCCAATAAGCCAAAACAATTCAGTTAACCGAATCCTTTGGAATACACTCGTCAAAAAAATAAACCAGGGTAAACTAGACCGTCCAACTACAGAAATCTAGCTAGATGAAAATCAGTAGGCCCTATAAAAATGAGACTTCTAGAGAATAGCTTGGTTGCTGCTTTGCATGAGATTATGCACGTCCACTCATTAAGGTCGAACAGCATTATTATTTATTATTAATAATTCCTTGGGTTCCAAGTGGAACATAAAGCTTCAGTAGCACGTTATCATTTCACTCTTTGCTCAGCAGTCTTTTCAACCTGGTCCCACCACTCCCCACAAGCTTTCATTTCTTCTTCACACCATCTCCTGCATGTCACCCTTGGACGTCCAACTCGTTTTTTCCTGTTTGGGTTCCACACGACGGCCTGGTGCGTGATGTCCCGAAACAGTCTTTTAAGTGTATGTCCTATCCACTTCAATCCATCTCCACTTTATCCTTCTGCATATTTGTTGGGCGATAGGTTCTTGCTTAGTTGGTTTTTTGCCAGCCAGCCTGAGTTCCTTGTTGCTTATTCCAATTATTCTGGCTATCTGATCTTTAGTATCGAATGAGCGTAGACATTAGCCGTTGATATGATGTATATCTGCAGTTGGAAATGCTTTTCGTAACGCGCCAAGTCTCTAAACCCTATAGAAACACTGACATACTTGACATTAGTGTTGAAAACCCGGATCTCGTTCTCTATGCTGAGTGCAGTGCAGTGCATTAGGTCTCCATACTGATTTCAGATTAATGAAGGTCTTCCTGTCTTCCAAATCCTGGTTTTGACATCATCTGCATCACCTGTAGTTGAGATGTTGCTGCTCTGCCTTAGTAGGTGAAAGAGTCAACTTTCTTCAGGTTCCTGCAGTGGATGACGATTGATGCTTGTCGTTTTGCGGTTGTTGGTTGGGTATCATTATCACCTATGTCTTCTCTATGTTTACATGAAAGAAGTCCCGTTTTTTGCTGGCCTGTCTCTTCTGCCAACTTGTTACATTTCGCCTGTGGATCCTCGAGTTTGATCGAAAAGCATGACAGCACTGAAAACCAACTTAGTTGGATAGTAGGAGAGATTGACAACTATATCTTTATCTACCGAGTCAATCACAGATATATCCAACAGAAATGATTCACTAACTGTTTCGAATTCCTGAGAAAGTTTACCGACGCCATTTTAAAGGATGCGATGAAACTGGAAGTATAGAAACTGTTTCAAAGTTGTAAAAATGCCCTAATATGATAGTTTTTTGAAACTGTTATTCAGTAAATAATGCTGCTTCAGTGTATGACGTTTGATAAGCAAACTAAAATAGAATTTCGGCCTACCAAAGTTGCCAAATTTGACTCTAACACTAATTGACGTTATTGCTTGTATTACCTCGTCGTTGATTGGACCGAACTGACCAGTCTCTGTTGGCATATGGCCTCCTGCTAGGATATCTCACTATTGCCTACCGTTTCAGTTTTATAATAATGATGGTTAGAAGCTTATAGTGGAATCCAGTACGAGCATTAGCGTGAAAGCTGTACTCGTCTCCCAAGAAGTGGTTATTGTGACTCGATAGATAACGCTCTGGCATTCGAAGTGACTGATTCCGAGCTCGGATCATAATGGAAACAATATCACTCATTGAGAGGCAGGTACTTCCAGCTACGTCCACCGCTAGCCACTATCACTCAGTACGTTATCTATCCCTGTAGTCAGTGCGAAACTGGAATTCTTTTATACAAAACATTATACAGTGAACATCCACAGTACAACCAAGCAGCCGTTTATAATATACATCCTTTTTTAATCAGCAAATGAACTGTTTTTGATACCCAACATCTTCAAAGCTTATTAAAACAAACATCTTTGATTTTTTTTAGAGTACCTGTGCATTGAACAGTTCGTTTTTCTTTCAAATATTATTTCGTATAGATGCAGTGTATTATTGACTACGTCTTCATTTATTTTTCTTTGTTTTCCGTTTTAGTCTCACTACTGTTTCGAAGTTATTGTATCCGATAAGGGTGTGAATAAGTCACATTCTACGGTAGACACAATATGTGTACGTGTCTTGGATGTGAATGATAATCAACCATACTTCACTGAAATTAGAGGAGTTGATCGAAGTAAGCATTCCATTGTAAATAACTAACTTCTAATTGGTCTATATGTTACATATTCAGTAGTTAATAATGTATCTTACTCATTTGAAAGTAACTGACTCAGCTTTTGTTCCCGTCGAATAATCAAGGTTTGAAATAGGTTAAAACCATAGATAGACACGTAATTGTGAAGGTAACTTAGTTTTGGTGTCAGATGGTAGCAATCCATGGAACTAGGTCTCATGCATGATGGTAGTCGTCAACAAGGCTTATATGCAATTATGAGAAAACATTTGTTCAATCCAACATTAATCCAGTAGAATAAAAGTATTGGTATTGATGATGAGGTAGTCCCCTTAGCATCAGGTTCATATTCTGGATTCTTTGTGATTGAAAGATGAGATATATCAGGCAATAGTGTTTGTGAAACAATATGAAGACATTACTAAAGGAGAAGAAGGTGTGCTTTGAGAACTTTTCGAAATATTAACACTCTGTTCATCATGTTTTTTGACATCAGTGTGGTAGCTTTATCGATGTCTTATGAATCCAGCGATAAACTCTTACGTCTGATCCAACATAGTCAAGAACATATATGAATAAGTGATATCTGAACGGATTAAATGGATGTACGATTGCATTTTGCCACTGGTTGATAGTTTAATGCTGTTTATGTAGATTAGCTTGTCCTAGGACTGGAAAAGGTTATTCTACTCTGACTTGAATATCTCAGCTTTTTTACCCAGAAACCGAAGATCGAAGCTCATAGACATATATACACCTGTACTTGTCTATTGGAGTGAAACATAATACAAACAGTACTAATGATAGGAAATATTCTGTGATGTGTCGGCTGAAATATAACCTCCCAAGTGATAATCATAATGAACAGTAGCTAACATTGGAACCGGGATGCGAGCTTTATTCTCTGTGGGACTGGTCATGTAGACTTTTCAAATGGTTACAACTGTGGTTGCTTAGGATTGTTGAGTACTTGGATATTATAATCTCTAACAGATTAAGCAAAGTATAGTATAAAAACCGAAGAGAGTCAAAAAATTAGTTGTTTGTAATTTGTAGCACTCCTTTATATTTCTAGAATCCATGGTAATTTCAGAAGTAAATAGTTTATTTCTAATGGCATATAGCACATTAACCTTATATTATCGATAATGATTAGAATCTACACTTTGACATCGTGCTATGCAGTGTCACCTGGGAATACGGTATAGCTTCAAAGATCACCCTGGGAACTGCCAAGATACCTTCTTACATCTCTTTGTGTTCTATGAAAAACTACTCTTCTAGCCGAAATTCTGAAATCTGATTGGTTATTTCAACAGTTGCTTAGATTGCCTTTAAAGTCAAGTTGATATATGAATAATCTTTTCGTTTTATCTATCACATATCACGCGAAATTGTAATCAGCTAGTCTCACTTTAGTCTCAGACCAGTTGGATGAAAAGGTATTCGTACGGATTGGTGTTTTGACAGTGTATTATTCAGAGGAAGTCGTTTAGTGTGAAACTAACAGTTATGTTATCGTGAACATCTGTTGAATTTAAACATTGTCCACTGTATAACGTGAATCATGCAGTTATTACTGGAGTGATAATGTGAGATGATTTTAGATAATCGCAAGTAGCCCGGAATTTGAACTTGACTTGCGAAAGGATGAAATAAGCATACTTAAAGGATAAACTGGAATTTGTTATAGAAGTAAATTATTTATTTCAATCAACAAATAATTTAATATACATGATTTGACTTTTCTTCGTTACGCTGACTAGTAGTGATAACTATTTGGATTGTATAGATCACGTTATCCTGTCAGATCTGTAAATATTTTAATCTCACCTTCAAGAAATAAAGATTATTATTCTGTGGTTGAAGAAGTCAGTATATGTAGATAATTATAATTGGAGACAAAAATGACATAGGTTGAAATCTTTCCAAGAAAAATCGATTTCTTCAAGGTTGCAGATACGCACTATTGTGTCCTAAGAAGTATGGAATTCAGATTCAGAGTTTTCCATTGGTTATCCACAATCAGATAACATCTACCAAAGGTTATGTCATCCGCTATAAAATCGCCTTTGTGTATGATGACCTTTCTCAAACACTCCTTTCGTAATTCATCATTAGTAAGTAACCCAATATAGGCAACAAAATTCATTCTTCGTTTTACTCTTTCCCTGCAGTAAGATATTTACTTACCTAAATTTGATTTTTTTTAGAGGCAAAATAAACATGCATATTGGTGTTATTTCTCTTCTCAGAATGCAAAATATTATATAGATGTTGCAGGATTACCTTCCAATTGATAATTACTAACTGCTTACTCTAGTCTACAGATACATAATGAATCTTCATAAGAAGCAACAGAAAGGAATAACGATTTTCAAACTTTCAGATTACCATCTGTTGACTAAAGTTTGTTAATCTCAGTAAATCTTAGTTGGATGCTGGAAAATAAATTAGTTATATTGTCATCCGTAATGAATTCATTGAAATACGTTTTCAGCATAATATGTTTGTCATTCGAAAACCTCAGAAATGTTTGAATAATAGCAAGAAGTACTGTTTAGAGAATTTAACTGATCATGCAAAATATTCCTGCTTTTTGCTTTTTTTTCCAAGATTGTACTCCCAAAAAATTAAACTTATGTAAGGAATCAACAGACTCGAATGCATTGTATAGCGAATATATTAAGAAACATGGCTTCAGATGGTTTCTAGACTGCTTGGTAAATTTTAACGCATATCAATCAACAACTCCACATTACAACATTTAACTAAGTGTCAACATAATACTATAGGATTAGTCTGTAGTATTCTGCAAGGTAAAACAAAATCTTCCAAAGTTTTTTCAAGAAGCACTTAATTTGTACATCCAGAAATAACTTTGCAGTTTACTATGGTTATTCACTTTCAAATTTTTAACAAAAATTATTCCTTTCTTGATTTTTCATGTTGTCATCTCGTTAAGTTTCTCATTCTTTGTCACTCTGACGACTGTTTGCTAACTTTTTTTATGAATTTAGGAGTTTTTGATTCCAACCGACATTTAATTATTCGTGTTGTCAAATAGTGTCGTGTTCCTAACATATGTTCCATTCCTACATTATTACTATTATCTTGGCTACAACCTACTAGAAAGTTATAATTGATAAATGTTGACATTTGTATCATTATACACGTACCCTTGATAGTAATTTAGATGTGATTGTACAGGATGTGAAGATGGTAGTCCAAAAAAAATTGTTCTCTAAAGCATTACTTTAGATAATGTTTTCATGAGAAGATTTTAAAAACAACTTTCAAAATTTTCAAGAGTGTGATAGGATCATCAAGTGTAAAGTCACTTCATAATATAAAATATTGACTTAAATGTCCTTCTAATCCATTCAAAGTCATTAATGTCATCGGTAAAACACCAGTATGTTCACGTGATTGAGTCTGAATAAGTTATACAATCGAGGCATACAAAAATGACTAAATTCTAATGAGATAAGTAGATTCAGGGCAAACTAATCTCTGCCTATTGGCGAACTGAAACATATTTGCTTAGCGATATCAAACAAACATTTACAAATTTTTGGTAGCAGGAAGTAACTGTTGGATCTGTAGTCATCAAATCACCATTCAGTATTTTCAAGAACAGTGATGTAACGACTAGAGGCCTCTGGGTTTAGAACCCTGTTGAGGCTCAACTTTTATTTCACACTCAACATCATCCATTATCATACTAATGCTATCATTATTTGTCCTTGCGTTCCTAGTGAACACAGGGCTTCAACAACACGTCTCCATTCCACTCTCTTCTCCACACTCTTTAAAACATGACTCCACAACACCTCAGAATCTCTCATTTCTTCCTCACACCATCTAATACATGTCATCAGCGACTCGGATGCCCAAATCACCGTTACCATCTGGGCTGCACTCCACAGCCTCGCATGGCCTGACACCTGATATCCCCTGGCGATCTTCTCAGTCCATGCACAACACATATCCACTTCCTTCCAGTACATATTTGTTCAGAGATAGCTTCTCGCTTCGTTGGTTCGTCAACAACCAGAGTCAGTTCCTTGCTGCTTATCCCCATCATTCTGGCCATATGAGCTTCAGTAACGAGCCAGTGTAGGCAGTTGTCACTGAATATCTCTAGTTTGTTGAAAATCCCTTTCGTAATGCACCAGGTCTCTCAACCATCACACAGAAGCACTGACTCAACTGACATTAGTGTTTAAAATCTGGATGTTGTTCACGCTTTATGCTGAGTGGAGTGCAGAAGATCTGCACACTGGTTTCAGGTTAGTGAACGCCCGTGTTGCTGTCTTTCCGATCCTGGCTGATTTGACGTCCTCGTCTGTGCTGTGCCGCCTGTAGTTGAAACGATTCTGCCTAGTTTACGTAGTTGAAGGAGACTACTTCCTTAAGGTTTCTCTGGTTGATGGTGATTGGAGTTTGTTGTTGTTGTTGTTGTTGGTGTTAGTTGGGTATCTTCATCACCTGTGTCTTCTCCTCGTTCACTAGAAGTCCCGTCCTCTCTGCCTCTTCTGTCAATTTGTTAGTCCATTATCATATACATTAGAAAATTTGTTACGTTTGTAATCTAAAACTGAAACCTCCAGGATTGTTAGATTAAAGATTGAAAATATATCTGATTATCTTGATATTATTATAATCTATTGATAAGGTCCAAACTGTAACATAAGAAATCAGATCCTACCACTTAATGCATCATCGCATAAACTAAATTTAATAAAAAAGTATTTTCTACCACAGTGTATATTCTTTACAATTACAACGCCAAAACGTTTTATCAATAAGTCTGTTAAGTATTAAATTGTTCAATAGATATGTTAGGAAGGTGAGACGCAAAGATTACTTTGTTACAATTTTAATTCATTACGATAATCCATTAATTGTATTCAAATAAACTATGTTTATATTCAGTCATAAGGTATTTTAACTTGGTACTGGTTGATGATTGATTGAAGATGAAATGAAAATTTGGA